GTCGACCTTCGCGTCGTCGACGTCTCCTGATACGAAGACTACCGAGTCGACCTTCCGTCATCCACGTCTCCTGATACGAAGACTACCGAGTCGACCTTCATGTCATCCACGTCTCCTGATACCAAGACTACCGAGTCGACCTTCGCGTCGTCGACGTCTGCTGATACGAAGACTACCGAGTCGACCTTCATGTCGTCGACGTCTCCTGATACCAAGACTACCGAGTCGACCTCCTCGTCCACCAGCAGTGGCTTCTTGCCTGTTCCGGTTCCGGTGCCCGGCACTGATGGTAAGTGGGGCCCTGCTTCGATTGCCGGAGCAACGGCTGGTGTGGTCGCTGGAGTTGCGGTAGTCGGCGGTTTCTTATGGTCTGCTGCACCTTGGAGGCGTACATCTGCCGATGCGGGTTTGAATCAGCAGGTGGAGGTCCCCGAGACTCTGGAGGAGAGAGAAACGGTCGATGAGATTGAAGGCGGAATGTTTGAGTAAAGTGGAGTTGCGCTAGGTGAAAAAGAGCTGGATGTACCGATCATAGGTGGAGAAACTAGCCGGGACTACTAGCTCATGAGAAACTAGCCGGAAGAAACAAAGACAGAAGGTATACTAGTGCCGAAGTATTTCGTTTATGGCACATAACGATTGGGGTGAACGTGGGGTGTCTTTTATAACCAGCTCAATTGCTGTTGGTATTACAAGGTTTCAGATTTTGTACTTTTGCCAATGTTGTTTTTTTCGCATTTAGTTCGGAACAGTTCTCCTTAGTTCACAACATTTCCGAGAGGCTGTCTCAGCGTACACCTTTTTGTCTTTTGGTTGTAGTGGATGATGTAGGGTTGTGGTGGATGGTGTAGTGTGGGTTGTGGTGGATGATGTAGTGTGGGTTGTGGTGGATGATGTAGTCTGCCGCCGCCGCCATCGGGGGGGGGTTTTGTTTATGGATGATTCTCATTTGCTATCGAGTGTTCTCTTTTGTTCGTTTTGCGTGGTCTCCGGTTCAGTGATTCAATGGGGAGTATCCAAGCTGAAGCGGTGCAGGCCTCCAGTGTCCATTTTGTGGTTTCTGTATGGGTCATTGATATGCTTGGTAAGCCAGGCCGATTAACCCGGAGTCGATTAGGCCGAGGCAGGCAGGCAGGCAGTATAGTTGTTTGGTAGGTGGATTTATTGTTGGTGAAGAGTCATCGCGAGGTCGGTAGCGACGGTTCAGTGTTGGAGGTAGTGGAAGGGTCTAACCTGTTTCAGTTGGGTGTGGCAGAAGGTTCGCGGTTGCCACACAACGCGATTTACTTTGTTGTGTTACCAATCTTACTGTATGATGCGACACAGCAAGTGGACTGGTACCATTTCCGTCGTAATCTTCGGAATGGTTGCTGGTTGGCGATAGCCGGAGTGGTGTTACAGGTGTTCATAGTGGGCCCATTGATGTACTTTTGTTTTCCTGATAGTCGAGGTAGTTTCTCGGCGTGCTTAATGGTGGCTGCGGCTGTTGGAGCGACGGACCCGATCGCAGTACTAAGTGTGTTGAACAGTATGGAGGCGCCGGAATCGTTGTCGTCATTGTTCGACTGTGAGTCTTTGATCAACGATGGCACGGCGGTCTTTCTGTTCACCTTCTTCAAGTCGATTGCGACGCATAGCGCGGAGGTCAATTTCCAGAGCGCTACCTCGGAATTTTTCCGACTACTACTCCTCGGACCCTTGATCGGTCTTTGTGTAGGCGCACTACTCTACCGCTTCGTGCGACACTTCCGCTTCCACGTCTACGACATCACATTGCTCATCATCGGCGTCAGCTACCTCGTGTTCTTCGTCGCCGAAGTCTACGCAAAAACTTCTGGACCGCTGGCAATTGTCGCCTATGGTCTCTATTTCAAGTCATATGATCGCGCTGCGTTCGAATCGGAGACGCACGCGGCACACAAGTCCTTCGTCAAGGGCCTCGGCGTCGCTATGACTTCCTTCGTCTTCATCGTCAGCGGCATCACATGCATCCGTATCTTCTGGGACACTTGCAACGACGACAAAAACCTTATCATTCAGGACATGTATGCCACTGCCAGCGCCCGACCCGTCTTCTCCACCTCCGCCACCTCACGCCTCTCTTACCTCTGGGAAGTACCACTCTTCTACCTACTCTGCCACATCGCCAGAACCCTCATGGTCCTCGTCTTCGCTCCGCTCATTCGACTAGACCTCGGCTCCTTCACCTGGAAAGAATGCGTCCTTCTCGTCTGGGGAGGTCTCCGAGGCGGCGTCTGCCTCATCATCGCCCTCCTCATCGAACAAGACGACACCATCTCCGTCGACACCAGCCGCCGCGCCGCACTCTACCTCGCCTCCTTCACCTGCCTCAACCTACTCATCAACGGCACCACCTTCGAACTGCTCTACAAATACCTACAACCCTACGAAGCCAACCCCTTCAAAGCCATCTACCTACTCAAGGTACTCAAAATCATCGACAACGAATTCGAAGATGAGGCCAAACTCCTCAGAGACCATTACTGGCTCTTCCAACCCAACCCATTTCACAACAACGATCCGAACGGCCCGAACGGCCCGAACGGCGGCTGCCCGGATGATCACCCGCCAGGAGCGGTCCACGTCCTCGAGCTGTCAAAAAAACTAGTTCCCCGACTCGCCGACATCAAGCTCAGCTCCAACAATGGCATTACTCTGCATACGGTCCCTGTCAAGAAGACTCTGATGCAGTTCCGAGACGTCGGCGGCGCCGAACACACGTGCGCGGCAAGCGAGCACACACGTGTGCTCGGCGCAAAATCCACCCTGGAGGCCGTCACGGGACGCCAATGGGCGACCGGCGGGGGTAACGGCGGATGCCCGACCGGTGACGTGTCCATCCCCGTGGGCACCCAAAGTGGCCCGGGCGGCAGCTTGACGCCAGAAGGGGAGTCCTCGTCGTCTCCTGCGCTGACGACGACCCCGCAGAACTCGTCGATGCGAGGCCACCAGACGGCAGCCCGGCTGCAGCACCTGATGAGCGGGCGGCAAGACCGCGACATCTCCAAGGCGGTTGCGGAGCTGGCGCTGGGACCAAGCGACCAGGACTTGGCTTCGATAAGTTCTTCCAGTCTAGGTTACCTCGTAGCGGAGACGCAGACGGACGACCCGCAGCCCGCCGAGCCGCAGGCGGCCGAGACAGCTGCGGCTTCATTGGAGTGGCTAGGCAGTTGTCTGAGCGAGCCTTCGCCATCCATGAGCTCCGCGCACCCGAATCTGGAGGCGCCCATTCTGTCGAACCTGTCAGACCCGCTACTGGACCGCCGCCGCGAGAACTGCTACCAACCACTCTACTCACTCGCGGCCTACAGCGGCGGCTACACGTACCGTAACCGGCAGCCTGCGCTGCAAGCGCTGAGTCCGGCCCTTTCGACCCCGTCTGCGGCTGAGTGCCGACGTAGACGCGGTTCGCTCAGTCGACCGGAGAGCAGCTGGTCCTTCCACTTGGGCGCGGCCGCCCAGGACTTGGAAGGAGGCCGTCCGCGGGGGCCCGCGACCGGCCACCTCCGGGTTCCAGGCGATCCACAAGTGTGTGCTGCTGCGGGCTCCGCCTCCTGGGGCCTCTCCGGTGGCGGCACGCTCCCGGTGAGTGTCCTTTCACCCAATGCCGCCGCCCGTGCGCAATCTGTACGCCCGTGGGAGCGTGAGGGGGAGGTCTCCGTCATGGTTATGAACTCCGCGCGCCATCTCTACCGTCGAATGTTTGAACAGTCCTTCCTTAGCGGCTTCGCCTTCATGAACCTTATGGCCGTCGGTGATTTGGTCAACGACTACAGCATGACGCGTGGAAATCCCGGCAAGAACCAACGCTGGATCAAATTGCTACGCAACAAACGACCGAGCGACCTGGAGTTGCAACTCGGACCCATTACCCAAGCTCTGGGGCAGCAGACTCCGGGGCAGCAGACTCCGGGGTGCGGTTCTGGTCACGGCGGGTCGCGCGGCGGGACTTCGCGAGAGGTACGCGAGAACGGGCGGGAGGCGCTGGAGGAAGTGAGTCCATTCGACTTGGAATGGGCGCTGGTTTGTCGGCGACTCCATTTGTCCTCTCGCTGGCGGCCGTCTTCGGCGCTGCACGACCGCGTCCACCCCATGGGTCCGCGCGCGTCGACGCCATGGTGGTCGCCGCGGACTTGGGGTCGTCGGCTGCTGCTGCTTGCTTGGCGGCTGCTGTGGTGCCAACAGACCGCCTTTCCGGCACTGGACGATCTGCAACTCTTGAGTGCTTACGTCGACGTGCACGAAGAGATGCTGCTCCGCGGCCACAAAAGCCTCCGCTTCATCCTTGGCCGAAAACTCTACGCCAGCTACGTCCACCGCATCCAACTCATGCGGGGACCCTCGGCCGCAATGGCACTGGCGGCATCGGCCACAGCGGGAACAGCGGAAGCAGCCGGATCGGGCCCTCATGCCGGATCGGCGCTCGAGTTGTTGCGTGCTGGGTACCCTAACAGTTTTGACTACGCCATGATCTGCCACGGCGCCATCTTTCTGCTCAATTTGAAGATCCAGCTAGTTGAGGAGTACCTTGAGCGCGGTCTGGTCATGACCAACGACGCGTACTACATCCTTCAGGTTTTAAAACACCAACTAACCGCTGTTGCCAAAGTGCAGCCTCACCTTTTTTAAATGCAGCCTGCCACCAAGACCAACTCCTCCGCCGCGGCCGTGCACAGTCCCGCCACCCACTTCACGCCACCCGGCTTCCACCGACCTGTAAACGACCGACCTGTAAGCTACCGACCCCAACATCGCGTCATAACGTCGCGTCGGTAACCCTTCAGCCCCGTTCAGACCCTGGCGCCCAGCCTGCCCCCCAGACTGCCGCCCAGCCTGCTGCCCAGCCCCAGACATTGTTGAGGCTCCGGCCAGTCCCTAAAGTGCGGCCGGACTTTGTTCAGGCTCTGCCTAGTCCCTGAGGTGCGTCTGAAGGCGCGACAAAAGTGTGTGCACACGCGTGTTTGTTCTTGCAGGCAGCTCGGTTAAAGCGCGATCCCTCGTTGTCCAGTTGCGGCGGAAGGAATTCCACGGCTGCGTCGTCCCCGCCAAGCGTTCCTTCTTCGGCTTCGTCATCGAGCATGCCGTCCTCGGTCGGAAGCACTGCGGCCATCGAACAAGGCCGCGGCGCAGGCGGCAGCGCAGACGCGCTGCCGCTACGCAGCACTAATGCAACTCTTCGCTCAGACTTTCTACGCGGCGATTTCTTGCGCAATAGCGACGACTTCTTCGCAGGTCCTGGTGCTGCCGCCAACTTCTCCCCCTCACCCGTCCTGCTACTCATTCTCCAAGGCTACCTCACCCTCGAAGTACTCAGCAGATGCTCCAGGCTCAGAAACCTGGCTTGGTATCAGCTGGGTCTCGCAGCACGCGCTGCAGACCAAACTGGCCACCTCAGATTCCTGTCCTGTCTCGAAAAGATTGAACAAGCTCTAATCAAAAGCAAATCAATGGCGCTATATAGACAACTCAATGAGCAAGGTACTACTTTATCATTATTCTCCGGACCACCACCCTAACCACTTTGGAGATCACCACCGTCCTAACCACTTTGGAGATCACCACCGTCCTAACCACTTTGGAGATCACCACCCTAACCGATCCTACTTTGTAGAGCGGCGCCGGAGCGATCTCTTACCTGACATCACTGAAGACGTGAAGAGCGGCGACTGGGTCAAGTTCACGACCGATACTGACTTCCGGAATAATGTCAACCATCTCTGCCAAATGCAGGAGTCTCTCAGTACGACCAAAGCCACTTAACCCGAGGCTCAAAACCCCTAGACCCATCCTTTGCTCTTTAGGCGGTACAGTGCTACGACCACCCTTACCTACTGGATACGACAAGGGCTCCTTCGTAGCACCATCCTACGCTCAGAGCGTGCCCCGCTACCGAGCGTTGAAAACTGCGCTTGATACCATCCGAATAAATCAACATGTTCCATGGAAGAAAACGGTCAATGCTCTCGCCCTGGCCAACAGACTCACCTATCGGTAGATCCCTGACCTCCCGGTCTTAGGATTCGGCAGGCGAAAAGGTGCTTGCCGGGGTCCTAGGACATCACTATCAAAGACCGAAAGACTGAGCAACCAAAAGGTATTTTGTCATCTCTCAGCAGGGACCAGAGACTGAGGGGAATGTACGGTCATGCTGGGATAGATCAGGCAGGGACCGAGGGCAACATCGCGATGCTGGGACAGGCACCATCATGGTGTACCCCACCATGACACGCCCCAACGACGGCCCATCATGGTGTACCCCACCATGACACGCCCCAACGACGGCCGGCCGTTCTGGAACCGTTAGACCGGGCTGGAACCGTTCAGGACGATGCCACAAAACGGCACAGGTCGGGTTGGAGTGCATACACTTTGTGGTATACCCGTCCGTCGTGGCAGTTGCTTCTGCCTAATTTACTGCTGAGCCGCAGCCCGTAGAGCAACCAGATGTTCACGCCACAATTGGAGTCGCTCTATAATCTGGTCGAAGTGCTCGTCTTTGAACTCTTTCGGTTCGCCAGCACTGCATATCGCAAACATGTGTGTGTGTGGTTCACACATTAATTTGAGGTCAACGCATTTATCTGTGAGGTCCACACGTGTGAGTTTCACGTGTGTGAGTTTCACACGTGTGTGAGGCCCACACGCGTATTTGTGGTTCGCTGATGTGTGACTTACGTGCAGTTGAGGATGCCTTCAAGTTGGTCGATGCGGCCGACTATTTTGCCCTGAGCGATGGCTTGTGCGGCGGCGTCTTCTGCTTGTCTTGGGGTCATACCGAGTGCGCGGGCCATGTCCTCGAAGGACATGCAGAGTTCGTGAGTCAGGTCTTGGCAGAACTCCTCCTGTTCGTTGGATACCTGGGTCGCAATAAAGTCCGCCACCAAGTCGACACTCATTTGGAAAAAAAAACCCCGGGCCTACTCGGGCTAGGATTGGAGGTTGGGTTCAGTATTGGCCGTGGCTTCGGCAGTGGCAACAAGTTGTTTTCGGTAGTCTCGGTAGTGTCTTTTGACGATTTTGCGAACTCGTCTGCAGTAGACGATTTTGCGGAAGTGAACGCGGAGGTCGGGCATGCGATTGGTGACCTTGCCACAGTAATTGCAGATGACGCCACCGTCATCGAGACGGTTGTAGCAGAAGTGGTCACCGGGTGGTCCGTCCGCGACGCGGCTGGAGCAACAGTAGCACCACCAAGCGGTTTGGCCCGGCAGGTTGGAACCCGGCACGCCCTGGTTCGAGCCGGGCAGTTGGTTACAGGATGGCTGGTTTTCACACTCGCCAGCTACCTGGCGCTCCATCCAGGGCACGAATTCACCCAGCTCATCACCAGCATCCACCCGCGGCGGCGTCGCCAGGGAACTTCCCGTAGTCGTCGTCGTTTCCTTCTCCTCCAGCTTCGCTGACGACCGCCGCGAAGTCGACGGCCCCGGTCGCTCCTGCTCCTCAATCACGCCACCCATATCTGGAGGAGGCCCGTCCATCAGACAGGACATAATCGGATCATTCCGCGGAATACACATCGCGCTACTAAACAGACGTTATTCACCAAGCCCGACCATGGAAGTCGGTTCTGCCCGACCATGGAAGTCGGTTCTGCCCGACCATGCAAGTCGCTAAGACCGTCCTGGACGCCGTTTAGACCGCCCTGGAAATCGGTACTATTGTTTTAGAGGCCGGTAGCCCCGCCCGTGAAGTCCGACTACCGACCTGTACCGGAATGCGTTGTGATTCTCACCTTCCTTGCTGGTTCAGAAGTGCTAGTTCTGTCCACAGCACGTTGAACAGGCGGTCCCGCACTTTGCAACTCTCTTTCAGCTCAGTTCTCAGTTCGAAAACATCTGCTTGCAACTTTCGAATTTTTGACTGCTGATCCATCGAACCACACACGTGTGCGAACCACTCCGAACCATCCCTAAGACCTCTCCAAAGCGCTCGGTGGGGGTGGAGGGCCGCACGGACAAATCATTTTCTGTAAACACATGCCATAAGAATTTCGATGAGAACCCCGACAACAGCCCGCGAGAATATCACCCCTACTAGCTAGTAGGGCCCGCGGGACCACCCGCAATAAGTGGGCGCGGTGAGGGGGGATTCTTACATTGATGTATTCGTTTCGCAGAACAGCGATGGGTTTATTTTCACAAGTCCGGAAGTACATCATTCTACTGAAGTGCCCGACATGACTCGCGTAGGTATCCTTCCGGGTGGTAGTACCCCACTCCCACTTAGTTGTGTTTGCATGGCCAGTGCCAGTGTACTTGCCATGCACTTGCTCCAGTTGCGCATGGATATTAAACCTATCGTTTGATAACATGACCCTTTCGCAGCTTGTCCTTCTGCAACCTGATATACACAGAGCGTTTAGAAAATTAGGTGACACGTAGCGTTTAGAAAATTAGGTGATGCGCGGCCTCGATGGAAATTAAGCCTGCAGTCAAAGCACAAGTAGAACGCAGAAAAGGGCGACTTGGAAAGGTCAATCAACTTCCCCGTTACCGGGCAGGCCAAGTAGGTGATTTATTCTATGTGTGAAACCGCGTTATTTCTGACAGCTACCTGAATATGTGAATCCGGACGAGCTGGACTCGTCCGTGGGTGAAAGCAGCGACTCTGATGCCAGCAGTGAGTCTGATGCCAGCAGCGACTCTAACGGGACCGAGGGTGGCACTGGCCCTGGCCCTGGCGCTGACCCGGTTGCTGATGAAGGTGCGGATGGAGGTGACGGAAGAGTGGCGGTTAATGACCTAGATGGTGATGGGTTTAAAGGACCGGACGCCTGGGTCAGTCACCCTTTGCTGGGGTATGGTGGGGCCGAGCCGGCGTTGGACGACTTGGTGAGTGAGAGCAGTAGCGACGACGAGCCAGCGTTGGACATGGTTGCAGTTAAGCCGACGTTCAAGGGCAAGTCTGAGCGCCAGGAGTTGGAGGCTCGACGTCGCAAGGAGGAGTTGCAGGAGCAGCTGGAGCGGCTGGAAGCCGAGCGACAGGCACTGGAAAAGGCTGCAGAGACGAGACAGATTGTGCAGGATACACTTGCGTCGGAGCGCGCTGAGGAGGAGCGCGTGAAAGAGCGAGCAATCCTCGGATTCGAACCCGGGACCCAAGGTACCGAGTTGCCCTGTGACGAAATCCCGCCGGAAGATGCCAAGACAGAATATAAAGCCTGGCAACAGAGGGAGCTCTCCCGCCTGAAACGAGATTGGGTCGAAGCGATGACGGTCCAATTCGGCACCGACCCCGGTCCGATCGAAAAGCTGTTGCGGCTCAACGACGCAACAGAGGATCCAGCCAGTGACGACGAACAGCGAAAGGCCGCAGCTGTGCCGGGCTTGGGCCTCTACCTGCTCCTCCTCTCCCAAGAGGTGACCGCCGCAATTGGTAAGAAGCCTGTGGTCAAGGGCAAGATGGGGTTCATGCAGAAATACTACCACCGGGGAGCGTTTTATTCGGATGTGACCCCGCATGAGAAATCTTTTGAGAAAGACTTCAACGCCGCCGTCGGGGAAGATCGATTGGACAAGACCCTTCTTCCCAAAATACTACAAGTAAGAACACAGACTGGGTTCCCCAACACACATTTTGGGTTTCCAACACACACGCTGAAACACACTCTGAGTCCATATTGGGTCAGGTCCCATGTTGGGGTAGGGTGGATTCCCAGGTTAGGGTAGGGTGGATTCTTAAGTCCAGTCGCAGGGGCGCACATGCGTTGGATGGGATCGGTATTTTCCTGAGTGAGAGTTTTCTAGGTGCGTCGAGGGGACTTTGGGAAGCGGAGCCGGAGCAAGTATACCCATTTGGTAGATCAAGACACGACAGACCGGACGTCGGCTTGGGGCAAGAGTGGTGGACAGAAGCGGCAGAGGGACTCCTAGTGGGCGTGGTGTCGTTGCAGTGGTGGAGAAGTCGTTGCAGTAGGGTGGAGTGATTGGCGAATGGTTAGTTGGGATGCGTGGGTGCACGGTGCACCTTGTACGATGTATACTGCCTGCCAGGTTCGGCCTCCACCACCGCCCCCACCACCGCCGCCGCCACCGCTCAGTACGTTGAGAAGAGGGTCAAAGAAGTTCGCGGAAAACCCAACGGAATCGGAAATGGCTTCGTCCCTGCGATCAGGAACATCCGGAGAAGACACATCTTTAGGCGGGTCCTCGGCGTCCCCGAGGCCACAGCGGCGCAGACAGCGAGGAGGCCACCACCACGTGGCCCGGACTGCCCGACCTGGCGCTACGGACCGGACAGGAATGACCGGAGCCGGGGTGCAGAGAGGAGCCGGCTCGGCCAAGCGACCGCCCCCTCCTCCTCCGCCTCCCCCTCCACCACCGCCCGCAGTCAACCTGGCAGCGGGCAACTTAGTTCCCGGCAACAACTTGGTCCCTGGCAATAGTTTGGTCCCTGGCAACAACTTGGCCCCTGGCAACAACTTGGCCCCTGGCAATAATTTAGGCAACAACTTGGTACCAAGCAATAATGGCTCGCCCATAACACTGGCTGGCACTCCCTTGACGGGTGCGCCACTGGCAGCAGCGTGCGCCTGTGCGGCGGGCGCAGCAAGTTCCTGGAAAAGGAGCAGCTCCTTCGACCTGTTTGCGTACCTGGCAAAGATGGGGTACCAGGGGCCCGTGCACTGCCACCTGGAGGCGCTAAGACCTTCGCGCTCCTACTGGAGTCCAAGCGTCGTCAATGGTGTCGTCTTTGGGGGCATAAGGGGCTGCGGCTCAGCCAAACATGCCGTTACCTTCGCCTACCAACAACACCTGCTCTTCGACAAACGGAAAAGAAGCGCAGCCATACAAGGAGCAGCCGTTACTGGACGCGCTGAGTAACCTGCCCTGTGTTATTCTGGACGTCGTGACCAGCTTGCCCCTCTGCAATTGTCCCTCTGGATTGTTAAACGTCTGACTTGGCCAGCCACCGTCCTAACCTGTTAGCCGTCTAACTTGGCCAGGTAGCTGTCCTGGACGACATGTCCCAATCCTGGACCGTATCGCCGCCACCCATGGCATTGCTGCGCCCAAGTGCTTGCCTGTTTTATTAAGTCGTGCCTACGTACTTGCGTTGCGCTTACGCCGCCCGGTCGATCTGTTCAGATCATCCCACTCGATGCCTTGTATTATTTCCCGTCTCGCACTCCCGCGTGCTACTTGCCCTGCACACCCGCGTGCTACTTGCCTTGCACACCCGCGTGCTACTTGCCTTGCACACCCGCGTGCTACTTGCCTTGCACACCCACGTGCTACTTGCCTTGCACACCCGCGTGCTACTTGCCTTGCACACCCACGTGCTACTTGCCTTGCACACCCGCGTGCTACTTGCCTTGCACACCCGCGTGCTACTTGCATCATATGTGAAGTAAAATATGAAGTTGCTGCTGCGTCGTCGTCTTTTTCTCTCGGCCAACCACCTAGCCAAACGAATCAACAACCCTCGTCACACCATAATCGAACGAATTTGAAATAATTTGGCAGAAATTTGACGCGCGATCGACTATGGTTAACTCCTCTGCAGACCGACTGGCTCGAACTGGCTCTGGTGCCCGTACCATCCAGACTCGAGGAAAGCGCGTCGAACTGGGGTCTGTGCGTGCTGGTGACTTCCAAGGACAGAAATTATACGGCATCTCGCTTCAAGAAGAGGAGGACGACGACGCCGACGCGCTGGCAGAAAGTAGTAGTAGCGGCAGCAGTGACGAAGACGAACTAGACGACGACCTCCTGGTCCGAGATGACGCAATGAACGTGAGCCTCGCAATGAAGCTCGTCATTAACGGCACACCCGTCGCGGGCGGCAATTCCGTCGCGGGCGGCAATTCCGTCGCGGGCGGCAGTTCCGTGGCGGGCGGCAATTCCGTGGCGGGCGGCAACATGCAGAATGAGAACATCAACTTCCGAACTAACGTCGGTGCCAGCGGCGATGAGGATCAGGTCATGACGGTTGAAGAGCCGGAAAAATCTTGATGTCTACTTCCAATCTGGTAAGAAATTCACGACAAAGTCAACCACCCACCGAACGTGCTAACAAGTCCAGCACCGACCGAGCACGACCGCAGGACCAAGTCCAGCACCGACCGAGCACGACCGCAGGACCAAGTCCAGCACCGATAGAGCACGACCGCAGGACCAAGTCAACCACCCACCGAGCACGACCGCAGGACCAAGTCCAGCACCGACCGCACGAGATATTGTGGGTCTTCTAGTTGAGCCAGCCTTCCTTCAATTGGACTGATGGTGGAAGTGACGGTTTAGGTTTTCTGCTTTATATAATCATTAAGAATTTGTGAATCTATCGAGTTGTGTCTGAGTAATTGCTGAAGTTGGATTGGTTGGTCTATGGACATGGTAAGTTGTAATTCCCAAGTGTGTTTCTTCTGGACTACATTGGTGTAGGTGACAAGGTCTGGTAATGGTCCCTTCTGTTTGGCGATGATGAAAGTGTTTCGTGTGCCGTATTCTTGGGTGATGTATGAGTGTTGATATTTCCGGAAGTCGTCCTTAGTTAGTTTAGAAAGTACTTCATCCGTGAGAGGTTTGTGTAAGCTGAGTTTAACTGCTATTTGATCCAGACTGGTCAGCTCCAACTGGATGCATAGTTTGGTTGCTGACAACATACGCGTGTCGAATAAGTGCGGCCAGATGCAGGCCGTTTGAGACAGTGTCCCATGTCGCAGCAGCCAGCCAGCAGTGATGAACCTAGGAGCTGCATGCTCGATTTTATATGCAGCATTCACATACTCATTCATCAACTCTCTCGGCAACGAATCTTTTCTCGATTCCGACTCTTCTCCATCATGCTCTCTCGATGATGACTCCTCCCCCGCCAGGTCCAGCAGCTGCGTGGCTAGCGCCAAAACATCTCTGAACTGGGTCACTGAAACACCCGCAACTGCTGCCGCCTCCTTCACATCGCGAGAACGACATACGTCCAGGCAGCGTTCAAGCAAACCGTCCAAGCTGCTTCCCAGAAGAACCCCGGCTCGACGCCGCCGAGTCCCGTCGCCTGCCTCCAACTGGTTGCTCACTTGGTCCGCGTTGTCTGTGGTTTCCGACTTGCTCGCCGGGTTGACAAGCAGCTCCGTGCCGACAGATAGTATGGCCACTGCTAGAGCGCCCGTCGTAAGTAGGGCCGGTTTTTTTGCCTGTCTCGCAACCTGCATTATCCTGGTTAGCATGCTGGCGTAGATTGGATGAATGGGGAATCTACTTGCACTCTCTCCCTTGGTTGTGATACGCCAGTCAAGCCGTTCTTGCCTGCTTTGTCGGTCTCGTGTTTTTACTCGATGCACAAGTTGTAATTTGGCCAGCCGTTCCATGGCAGCCTGTATGGCTGTGAGAGGTGGTGGGGTGGGGAAGGGGAAGGCTTGTATCGAGGGTAATCCCAGGTTAGCGAGGAAGAGTAATGTTCCGTCTAAAGGTTGTTCAGTAAGTTGAACGGGTGGGTAATCGTCCATATCATGTTGGAAGACAGCGCTCGAGTAGAGACGATAGCAATGACCGGATCCTAGACGTCCAGCTCGTCCTGCACGTTGTTCGGCAGCAGCTTTAGAGACACGGCGACGTTCAAAAACGCTATAGCTACCGCGCGCATTATACACGCGTCGTTGACTCAGTCCCGCGTCCACTACGTAACGAATGTTCGGCAACGTAACAGATGTCTCTGCTACGTCCGTACTCACCACCACCACTCGCTCCTCTCCACTCGGCCCCTCAAATGCCACCTGCTGCAAATCTGGATCCAATGCTGCATACAACGGAACTACACGCAAACCTCCTGATCCATCCGACCCCTCCCAACGACAACCCACACCACCACCACTCAATGCACGCCCCGCTGCGTCCAACAAACCGTCCCCGGTCAACGTATCACCCTCCGCCCCCGACTTACTACTCCGCCCGGACCCAACGGCCAAGCGCCTCCGCTTCGCCGCACTCGCTCCTTCCTCCACTTCGCCGACGTCACTGGCATGGCCGACGTCACTGGCATGGCCGGCGTCACTGGCATGGCCGACGTCACTGGCATGGCCGACGTCACTGGCGTCGCCGGCGTCACTGACGTCGCCGGCGTCACTTTCCTCACTCTCACTTTCCCCAGTCTCGCCTTCCGCCCCTTCGCCCACCGCCCGCTCGCTTTCCTCGGCTTCGCTTTCATCGTCGTTGAGACACAGCGCTTGGTCCTCCACCGTATGAGGGGCACCGGATGCAGAGTCCCGGGACGGGTCTTCGGCTTCCAGTTCCCGAAGCGGCCGGTCCCGCCCTCGCGGCCGGCCTCGAAGTCGGCGGTGTTTATCATAATTCTGGAGCAAGTGGATGAGTTGCCGGATGTCCTCGCGTCCCGTAAGGAAGACGAGGATGCTACCGGACGGCAACTTGCGGTGGATTTGCTTGACTCGGGTGAAGGCGGCCTTCACGTAGTCCTTGGGTGTCTGCTTCATGAAGTGAACGGTGACCTCGAACATGGACGCCTCCAAGTTGACCACGGCCAATCCGCTAGCGGCCTTCTCTCGGTCGGTCTGTCCGCTGGGTAGGAAGATTCTTTCGAGATCGTCAAGTCGTAGAGTGGCGCTCATGAGTAGGAGTCTTAGTGGCGGAAGGTTGGTTTTTTTTTGCTGGTGCAGGTCGTGTCGCAAGCGCACTACCCGGGAGAGGATGCCGAGCAGGATGTCGCAGTTGGCGGATCGTTCGTGGATCTCGTCGAGGACGATGACGCTGAAGTTCCGCAGCAAAAAATCGTGCTGGACGATTTTAAGCAATACGCCGTCAGTCATGAACCGTAACAACTCTTCTGCCGCAGTCGAATACTCATGCCGCACTTGGTAGGCAACGTAACGACCATAGTTGCCTAACTCATACCGCACACGGTTCGCCACCGCACGCGTTGCAACCCGTCGCGGTTGTGTCACGCCCACCAAAAGTCGCTGACCGGCGTATTCGTAGTTAAATCCAGCCTCCAGCAGAAACTGCGGGACCTGCGTGCTCTTCCCGCAACCAGTCCCGCCTGTCACCACCGTCACCAAGTTGTGAACCACGCTATGCACCAACTCCTGCTCGCAGCCAAACGCCGGCAACTTCACCCGCGACTCTTCAACCTCCGCTGGACGAACCACGCCCGTCACCACCTGCCGTTCCTCGAGACCGGCCATCCTGCCGATTTTTATTACCCCCACATGGACAAACAACCAACCTAAACTCTCTGGAGCCCGACTCCCACCAGACGGCCCACTAGCCCTTTCCCGCCATTTTCCGGACGGCCGGGGGTAGCTCAGTTGGTAGAGCGTCTGACTGTAGAGCAGCAATCAGGTAGTCGGCGGTTCGATTCCGTCCCACCGGATTTTTTGAAAGGTTCGCGGGGCGAGCGCCACCGAAGGTCATTTTGTTGTGGGCTGGGGGCTGATACGTTCTGTGCCATTCCAGTCTCTGCTGGATGGGATCATGTTTTGTTAAAGGCTACTAGTCCGGTCTCAAAAAGTGTATGTTTGTACACACACGGCATCTATAAGGCTATTTCACATTATGCCCTCCCCCAAACAGAGAATTAGCACTCGTGTAATTCCAAATGATCAGAGAGTGTCGTTTCTTTTTTGATTTTTGGAAGCAGCAATGGAGACGTTCATGTTTCTTTCGATTCTGAGTATGTTCCATAATCACAGGTTCTAATAGGTCGGCCCGTTGTGAAGGAAGTTGTGTTTTAGGTCAGCATCTGAAATTGGGATCTCTTCGT